GGTCCCGGACATATATACAACCAGCATCGACTCAGGCCGCACGTTCGCAGTCGGTCGTTGATCAGTGAGTCCACTCTCAACCTGGAATCAGGTCATCAGGTTATCGCAGACTGTACTAACCTAGTCCTCCTTGTCCTGTTCGCGTTTCAATCGCAATAGCGCTGACCTGGATTAGTTTTTTTACTCTCCAACACACGTGCTCATTCGTGTCGTTGTGGTCTGATTTTCTCGCAACGAGACCTATCGCGCCCACTGCTAACCGCGCTATTCTTACTGCTATGACCAGAAGTTCAGCTGCGCCCACGAATCGTCAAGTCAGGACAAGACATGTACCTTGTCGCTTTCGAAGCAGGCTCTTGTGGATAGCTCATTGAGACTGCGCCAGCGTCTCGCCTGCCCCGGATTGTTCCCGAGGCGCAGGTGGCAGCGAGTGTGACTTCAGGTGCGCGGGTAGGCGAAAGTCGGCTACGATCAGCACAAGTTGAATGATGTGATGTCTTTGCACATCAACCGCGACGCGCTAAACACACAGCAGGGTCTTGTTGCGTACGGTACGATCACGGCTCAGTCGCAAATACCGCATCGATCCTACTTTCGGGGTGGACACGATGACTGCGATGGTGCTATGTAACATTCTGCAGCATCTGCTCGACCATCACACCGACGCGCAAATGCACAGCGGCGTCACGATAATCCTTCCATGTAGCCTGTATCACGTGTCGATATCAGCCTCGGTTTTCATCGCCCGTTCCGGAACCGAACGGCGTCGCGGTTGGAAAGGAAGAAGCGACTCAACGTCTCCTTGTCGCGAACGCCAACTTGAGTCAGCATGCTCAAAGTCCAGATCCTGTTTCGTCAACGTTGAGAAAGTCGGCATGCCTTCGACCTGGGAGAGACTCCATGACGATCAAGCCCTCCCGGCGTGCAGTCTACCTAGGATCACCCCCGACATGTTCTATTGACTGATAGTGTACCTTGGCGCTATCCGCGGCGAGATCCACCCTCAGCATCCATTTACTCCTCGTGTTGGGCATTTTCGCAGGTCGGCAAGCTCCATTAGACCTACTTCCACACTGCACAGGTGCGCAAATGGGTGCACATGACGGGGATGATCTACACCGGAAGATGAGGTCCCTGGACGATCCTGGAGATCCGGATCGTACGGATATTTCCTGCTAGCAATGCGCTAAGCGGCTATCTTCCGCGGAGCGCAACGAGTGCGAACATCGTGTGCGGCGAACTCCTCCCCAGGGACCAGAGGGAAAGCTTGTTTCGGGGCTACCTCGGCCAATGTCGAGTCCTCATTTGTCAAGCGTCGTGGAGGGGTCCGGCCCGCGCAGCTGTAGTCCAAAATGTAAGTGCGGGCGCCACGTGAACTTGGTTGCACACCCAACCTGCAGTTTTATTCTCCTGAGATTAACTCCAGCGCAGGATTTATTCGCCCCGTTGCAGTAGCATCCGGAGCATTAATCGATGTTTCATCCATGATCCTGCCGGGGCGCTGTAGGCAGATGCTCGAGCGGACGGCACCCACGACTATCGACTCGCCGGACTTGTAACTAAGGACATCGTCTGTTGCACAGTTTCGTGGCACCTGACATTCCCGTAACTCCCGCTGTTGGCTTCATACGACGTTACCTGTCTCGTCGCTTGCACCTCGGCACAACATCCAGGAACATCACTTCACCCATCATGCGTCACAAACGGCGGCGCTGTTTCTTTATCGTGTGGCTTCAAGCACGCCGTCGGTACCCTTAAACATCACGGCTTTCATCCGCCATGGCGTATTGCGATTGGCCAGCTAGCTGCTAGCACATCAATAGATCGTCTAACATTGCCGTAGAACAACGCCACCACACACCGTCAGTTTTCGATTGTGCTGTCAAGTTGGGCCAAGATATGGGCTTGCCAAAGTTGCCCGGGAGGTCATACTGTAACCTCAACTGAGAAAGCACCCTCACCCTGTCAATGACTCAACCATGCCTGAGGGCTGGACTTTCTCTCAGCGGCGCCTGCAACGTCACCGTTTAGTTACCTCATACCTTCTGGACCTACTGGAGGCGACTAGCCATGTGCTACGTTCTCGTGTTCAACAGTTTCACTAACCGGCTGTATCCTTAACTTTGTCGCCCTGATGTTCAGCCTCGTGGTTTTTGAACGAATGAGCTCCGGCGGGGCTATAATCCGAATGTTGAATTAATCCTATTCGCACAATGGGCTCTCGATTATCGACAAAATTTCCTGCAGTATGGTACGACTTTGCACCAGCACTGTTTCAGCCCACTGCCAGTTGGTAGCCGCATTGAATTGCATGCTCCACTGTCTCTAACGTCGAACCAGACTCGTGTGCTGCAAGTGCAATACATTGCGGAATGACGTGCGTTAGAAACCTTCCTGGCGCAGACCTTCGTGTAGCAGGATAGACGAGTCCACTCAACAAGATCGGAGACATCTGCCAAACCCGGCGAATTTTCGAGACAGACATCAAGTCCGCATTCGTACGTACAAGCGCGGCAAGATCACGCACTTGAGCTGTCAGCTTTTCACTACTGTACTATGACCGTTGCTTCACTACTGCTCCGCCGTTGAAGATGTCGGCCTAGACTAGGTAGCCCAGGAACATGCCCTTCTGACGAAGTTTGTTCAGCCACCAGTCCACAGCCCCTCCAAAAAAGTGAGCTCGTCACAGACGTTCGCTCACGCCCGCACCGCAAACGCAAGGGCAACGCTGTTTCACCAGGCGGGCCACTCCGTATTCAAAAATCCTTCAGGGCGTCTAGACACGGGTCCGCGAGGTCTTCCCGACTACCTCTACTCCAAGGCCCTTATGCGGTTGACGTTGTGCGCGCGGATCAAGAGACAGCCTTAGCGGGTCTTTCCGCCCTGGATGCTCATCACGGTCTCACCACGTTCATCCGTGTATTTCTTCATGTTGGTTTGGACTAACTAGGAAACTTGGTTGTTTCAGACATCTTTGCCACGTGGGATGAAGGTGGAAATTGCGGGGAGCTGGGTCGGACAGAGCGAAACTGACTCATTCAGCAATGACATCCACACACTTCCAGCGGAGCAGTTGGCCGATGACGATGGTAGTCTGCTACCGATCATTTTCGGCTTGGCGGAAGACGAAGAACATCCGATTCGGACGACTGTCGTGCGGTACTAAGCTACAACGCCACCACGAATCTCGATGACAGCCCTAAAATCTAGGCACGCTACATCGTATTATGCAACACCAAGCTGCACCGCTCACGATGTGTCGATATGGGGAAACATCCGCGAGCTGCACGGCAATACCATCTCGCATATACACACCAATCAGGAAGCTGCCAGCAATCTTATCTCCACGAAGCTCTATTCTGTCCTCTCGATCGCTGCAAGGGGTCTGGTCCGGTAGGTTTGATCGAAGCCGAAAGTTTGACCACTGCAGGCATTGCATGATCGAACACTTCGGTGCGGACCGTTTGTCTGGACAGGACATCCGCAAGTTACGTGTCAACCTTACCACCCACCATGCTGCACAGCTCGCAATCCTGCAGGTAATTAAAGTCTTTAATGATGCCATGATGATCGCTACGCAACATTTAGCGGCGCCGTTGGTCTGCTCTTTGAAACAACTCCGATGCTGCAAGATGTGCAGGAGCGATCTGGGCACCTAGATGAGAGAGCTGGATATCGATACCCTGCGCGTGCGTCTTCCCCAACGAAACGCTTGCAGAAATGATTGGGCACCAGTGCGACATACCATCAGATACCCCATTGCCTCTTGGAGTAATGCCGGGACATCCTCATCTCCCATTCCAAGCTTGTGGATGCCCCAATGTGGTCGAGCAAACAACGAGCATCCTTACATATCATGCCCAACAACGCCCAACAGGGCCAGCACGTTGGAACTTGTTGAGAAGAGTCACAAAACCGGTTGCAGTCGTGAGGGGTGGCACCCGCACTGGTTGTTTAGGGCTGACTGTGTAGCACTCGTTTCGTTCATGATCAGCAGATAAACGGTTGCTGATCTTGCCGAGAGAAGGACCGAAGAAGCCGTTGGATTGACATGGGGAGGCTTCGCGCCGTCCACGGTTTTTTGGCTTATCTCGGGGGATCTGTGACTGGGGTTTTGCAAGATTGTCTCTGGTCGCGATCTCTGCGGTGTTACTTTTTGGGGTAATGGCGCTGTTGGAGCTCGCACATAGCACGCAATCGGGATGTTGTGGTCAGTCGGTCAATACAGGGAATGTGGCAATCAATAGTGATGCTGAATGCGGGCGCATGGAGCAGTGCTTGAGCCGCGTCGTTCTTGCTGGGTTGAGCGGCTCCAGCTGCACTGAATGGCTGACGAACCCCGCAAGGGAATGCGCGTTCGCTCTTGCAGGCGCTGGACGCGCACTGCAACGTCTCCCAGGAAGCTGCCTTCGCAATGTGGCATCCATTTGCCCGCGATAGCGTAGTCCCTTTGGGAGTTCCGTTCCTCTGGAGCCTCATTCTTTTTCGAACCGCTCGCTCTCCTCCGTTGGCATGCTAACTGCCGTGTTCGCCCAAAGTCTGACATAAGATCAATGTGAGCCTGATCAGTGCACGTGGGAGGCAATCGCCCCTTTTCTCATCCCTTTCACGGTGCAGTGCGAGGTTGGGTACGTGTAGCTGCAAGAGACGTAATGTAGGTGTAGTGATAGTGGATAAACGGCAAGTAACGAGGGTTGTTAAAAATACACATTGCCACCCAATACCATGAACGTGGGTATTACCATGGCGAAGGCACATTCGACCCTTCGCCCAAGATATTTTCCAAAGCCACGGATGAGCTACTTGGCCCTCCCAACTTTCTGCCGTGTGCTTCCAGGAGCTTCTCATGGCAAAAGCCGATGAGCTTCTTTCGAAACTCGGGATTGCTATGTGTGCACAGCTGATAGTGATTGCAATCAGCTACCATCATCTCCTCGTTTGGCAAGCCCATCTTGGCCATTTCGTACGTGACGATCTGCGGCATATGTTAGACACTTTCTTCATGAAGGCCCATTATCGTTGATGATGGGTATGCTGTCTCCGTGGCGTACCACAAATTTCTCTGCTCTCCATCTGCGCCCAGTCAATCTCGTCTCCTCTATTCTCATTGCATCGCTTTCTCGCCCATCCCAGACTGACAAGATTGGTAGACGGGGAACATTTTGCCGGATATACTTGTCGAACTCCTCTGACAGAGAGCGGACATATTGGGTGTCTTCCAGGTCTAGGAGCTTCCTGTGAAGGGGCTCTGACTTCCTGGATGTCGGTGCTCTCGTAATGACGCCTAGTATGCTCTCTCCATCTGTTGAATTCATCTTCGTAAGATGGGGTGTTCCGAGCAGAGCGATCCCGACGGTGTTGTTGACTATGTCCTCATACCAACGGATTGGAAAGCCTCGGAGCTCGGGTCCACTTGACTTCCAGAAGAACTGGCCGGCATTAGTATTAATTTATCTTTATTGCTGCACGAACGTACGTCTTTAATGATCAAGCCTCCGACACCGTGTCCCACAAAAACCATGGGTATGGACATAGTCTGGAAATCTATTAGATGAATAGATTTTTCTGAGGGTGTGAGTACCTACACCAGTCTGCTCGCGATATTCGTGGAGCATCTGCATCATTGTATGCGAACTCTCACGTAATTGATCCCACCGCCGGAAGGTTTTTCCGTTGACTCTCAAGTCATGTTCGAGTGCAAAAACTTGTATGTTCATGAAATGCTTTGTGAAGTCGCGTACAAGTGGCTCATTGGGTTGCACGCCGTCCCTGCTCCATATCTCGACGGGCGGATCACCCACACCCGGTATTACAATGATGCTATTCGTGTCAATATGAAGGTATGAGCTCTGATCGTGTTTATGTACTTACAATGCATCTGGGTCCATCGTGTGCGTGAGGTCGTTTGGCAAAGATAGTGGCCTGAGCGAGCAGCCCTTTTGTTGAATGATTGAAGGATCTTTTGACCATCCCGGGCTGACCGGGCTGACGTTGTCCACGGAAAGCGATGAAAATGGCATCGCTCTCGTCCAGTGACCGCTGGGTGTTCTTGGTGAGGTCTGCGATGCTGACTGAGAAGGTGATGCCTCTGATATGGTTGTGCTGGGCGAAAGATTGTAGTCATTGACTGCGATAGGCCGATCGAAATAATCATCAGGTTCTTCTAGAGACCCTTTACTGTCTAGAGCAGACTGTATTGTGACTGATGGTGTTACATGTGACGGCGTGGTATTCGTAGAGGGGCGCTCTTCTTCCGAATTCCTCGAACTCTTCGCGCTTTCCGCTCTTGCCGAGACTGTTGGGCCGCTGACTTCCATGTCTGACCAAGCTAACGACTCTTGGGATTGTATCTTTTGCACCTTTTCGTGCACCTGATCTTTAAAGATGGCATAAGCGTTGGCAGAGTCGTTGGGAGACAATGACGGTTCTTCTACCAGTGTCGTAAGACCAAGGGCATTGTCGTGGGAGTCTAGCGAAATAGACTGATCCTTTCGCCGTGAAAAAGTGGAGAACTTGTCCATGGCAGCGGTTTTGACAGCATCGAGAGTTTTGTACACTAGAGTAGAAGCTTGTGTATCAGGAGTAGTCTGAGATGCGATGGAGGCTGACTTCGGATCGTGACGTAAGAGAAACCGGGCGATATCAAGCGTACTGCGACCAGTCTCGGTTGACGTGGATGTTGTCCTATGCATGGTCAGAACAATAGGACTGCATTAGATGGAAAGGGCTGTTACGTACTCTAGGGATTCGAGCGACGCTGCAAGAGATTCCGCTCTTTGTTCTGCAAGCCAAGTATCGTGCAGTGCGCCGGAGGCCGTGAGTCGATCTTCGGGAATGACTGCCAAAAGTCTTTCGATGAAATCACATCCAGGCTGTGAGACGTCGTACTTCTGTAGCAAGTCCTTAGGGAACGGCGTTTTGTAGTTGACGTAGGATAGCAAATCTTTCGCGAAAGGGCGCACCCCAGTAAGAGCCACAAATACCAATGCGCCCAAAGCCCAGATGTCTACAGCGTTTGTATATGGTTTTGAGTCGGCGAAAGTCTCAGAATGAAGTTTACCGCCGTACGCAAGCATCTCAGGTGCCATGAAGGCAGGTGTACCAGTGACTGTATGATGCAACTCGGCGTTATCCATACGCTTGCTGATCCCAAAATCGCCGAGCTTGATCCACCAACGAGGGCCAGTCTCTTTGATGAGTACGTTTTGTGGCTTTAGGTCGCGATGAATGAATTCGTCTTTGTGCATACATTCGAGCCCTTCTAGTATCTGGCAAGCGATCTGTTGAACTTCGAGCTCTGGTAGTGGGCCGGACTTGTCGAGATAACAGCCTAGATCTCCGTGGGGAAGGTATTCCATCGAGATGAAGACATGCTCGTCATTTTCGTACCATCCGAACGACTTGACGAACCATGTATTGAACTAGATTGACAGGTGCATCAGCTCTGTACAACGCGGTAGACCACGGCTCGAACGGAGATGGAGGAAGACTTACCCTGTCTTTGGAAAACTTTGCTATCGCATGCAGCTCGCGATTGTAGTTCTTTGCGTCTTCCTTATTTATCTTCTTCACAGCTCGTACGTCGCCGTCGCCACCTCCTACCAGCTTCTCCAGCCAAACGACCCCGAATGCTCCCTGCCCAAGTTCTTGGTTCGCCTTCCACTTATGCTTCTTCCGATCGATTAAATGAATCGTGCAATCTTTCTTGAAGACAGTGTCCAGCTTTGTGTCGTTCACTAATTCCGACGGTAGCGCCATAGCTCCGGTGGCTTTGGAAAGTGGGGCAGCCTTGTGCGCCAAAGGGGATGCAGCAGCGAAGGCCTGGGATGGAGTAGACACAACAACGAAAAAACTGGTGGCCGGGTAGCGACGAAAGAATTACGGACGGACAGTTTGCGAGGGATGGGATGTACTTCGGACGCAGCAGCGGCGTCATGATGCGACCCCAGCCTACCCCGCTGATGTATCCAGGTGGCACGGCAGGCACTGCCAGTCTCGCCCCCAACCACGTATAGGCGGGAGAGATTAACCCTGTAACTCTTCTCGTATGTATATTAGCCAGCCTTGCGCTGTATCACACAGCCGCTCCCGTGTCTATTCGCATCTTTTACGGCCCCTCACTCGCAGCCAGCAACGACTATCACTGCCCGTTCCGTCGACTCTTTGACTGTATGCCGCCACCCTGTCCCGCCCCTGCATACTATCCCACCTTATCTTTTTCGCTCTTTTTTTCGAACAAGTGGTCGGGCATTGCAGTCACATTCAAGCCTTTTCACGACGGTCGGTCAACACTTTGCGATGTCAATCGAAGTAGCCCTAGCAATCATCGCGACTGCTGATCTAGCAATCAAGTAAGTGATTTGCATGGGTAGTCTATATATGATGACTGAGCTTCTAGGTATGGGAAGAATCTCTTCCAGATGTACAACAGCTACCAGAATGCGGACAAGGAGATCGGCGAAAGGCTGTTGAAAATGCAAGTGATTTGGCACCAGGTGCAATGGCAGGTCCAATATCTCATGCGCGTTCGTAAGGCTCTAGAAGAGGAATTCTTAGCTATGCAAGACCAGATCCTCGGACAGTTGGTGAACAGATTGAAGGCGGCCATGAGCGAAGTTCAGAAACTCGAAAAGAAACAAGGTCCTACTGAAACCGACTCGAAGACGACGAAAGACGCCCAATATAGCAAATGGAAGTACCCTTTTATCAAGAAGGGCTTGGACGCAGCCATAGGCGAGTTGAAGGAATGGCAGGGATATTTCGATCCGGGTTGGTACCACATCATGCGGATCTCAGACAACTTGGTCGATACCGGGTTTAAGAAGCCAAAGTCATCTGCAGAACAAGAACCAATGGAGGACGCTGCGCGTAAGATAATGTCCAAGGCGAAGACTGTCCGCAATTGCCTAAGAATGGATCCCCAGAGCGGAAGTACTACTGTCTTCATGAAAGCGGAAGAAACGTCAAACTACCGCTACACGGCAATACCGTACTCGACAGCATACATCTGCCATCGCAGCTCAAAAGACCCACTAATAGCAGACTCTGTCCCCGCCACACCGGGCATCAGCCTCGACATCCAGAGCAGAGACGTGCGCGACCTTGCCCGCAAGCTCACAGACACAGACCCGATAAGCTTCTGCCTACTCAAATGTCGTGGCGTTTCGCGAGTATACAAGACCAATGGCTCTCTCAAAGCCTTCGACTTCCATTTCCACATACCGTCCTCCCTACACTCACCACAAAGTCTACGCAACATCCTAATCGAATCGAAACCAAACATGAGTCTCAGCGTGCGCTTCCGCCTCGCACAGCAGCTAGCGCGCTCCTTGAGCTACGTCCACATGTACGAGTTCGTGCACAAAGGCATCCGCCCCGAAACAGTGCTCATTTTCGACAGCGGCAAGACCGAGCTCGCACACTCGTTCTTGCTTGGCTTTGAGAAGTTTCGCGCAGATGCGGGTCGCACATTGAAGACTAGCGACTCTGTCTGGGAGAGAGATCTGTATCGCCACCCAGAACGCCAGGGAGAGAAACCAGAGGAAGCATACAAGATGCAGCACGACATCTACAGCCTGGGTGTTTGCTTGCTGGAGATAGGTATGTGGCGCACACTCGTCACGTACAACAGTGTGAAGGGGGAGCCCACCCCGTCGCAACTCCTGCCACCACCGGATTACTCCGAGAAGGACGAGGTGGGCAAGGCTAAGTCGCTCAAGCATACGCTCATCGAGATTGCGCAACGTGAACTGCCTAGTTGCATGGGCGATAAGTATACGGGTATTGTCATATCGTGCCTGACGTGCCTGGATAAAACCAATCCCGATTTCAGCGACGAGAACGACTTCAAGGATGAGGATGACGTTATCGTTGGGGTGCGCTACATTCAAAAGGTTAGCAACAAGACTCACAACTTTGATACAATGCTAATGAGTTTGCCAGATCTTGCTTGGACTGAGTAACATCTCAGTCTAGAGGGGTGTCACTAACACCCAGACATCACTCATCCCCATACAAAGCACAGCACAATACAGCGCATGATAACACATCTTTCACATCTCTCACTCCCACCATACGGTGCCTTTTCCATTTCCATTTAATTCTCCACCACCCATATGCGCCCATAGGGTATCATTGCTCCATACCCAGTGCTATAAACCATTCCATGTCCATACCATGCTATGCAGTACTTGTCGTGTTTGGAAACCAAGAGAGAAAACCCAAGAAACGCCCTCGCTATGCATACAAAATCCTTATATGATACACTTCTTCCTCCTCGTCCAAACCCAGTCCCCAACTGCGACGCCCGTGATCGCAGTACTCGTGTGACGCGTGTATGCGACTGCGGTTTGATAATTTAATAGTGAAGGCAAGGCCAGGATGCGGGGACAGAAGAATCAGACGACTAATCCGACAATTCAATAGCATCGTCTTCCGTCGCACCTGGTTTGCCGTTCGCACCTGGATCAGCTGCACCACCGCCGCCTTCATCACTACCATTCTCGCTACCGTCTTCTTCATCTTCGTCTTCGTCCTCGTCCTCCTCATCGAAAGACTCTGCGTCCTCATCTTCTTCGATCTCGTCTTCTTCATCGAGATCAGAGTCTTGGTCGTAATCGAGCAACTCTTCATCGTCGCCGTCGTGCATCTCAGAGTCTGCGTCTTGGTCTGCGTCTCGGTCGTAGTACTGTTCCTGTTGCTCCTGCTGCTGATGTTGCTGGTAGGGTGCAGCCTGGGAAGGAGTAAAGTGAGCTTCGGGATAAGACGATGTAGTGCCGAAGTGGTTGTAAGACTGGACGTCCTCTTCGTTGTCGGTCATAATGGCGTGCTCATCCTGAGCATCGACGTCGATGACGTGTGCGCCGTTCATTGATGCAAAATCGCTAGTGAACTGGTTTTGCTTGTAGCTCATCGGCTGGGATGAAGTCTGCTGGACGAAGGAGAGCTGTGTGGGTATCGGTGACGAGATATCCAGTGGCTCTGTGCTGGCGGGTCGGGTGCTAGCAGGTGATTTGCTGAGACCGTTTTCGATTCTGTAGGCGCGAACGGCTTCCGCGCCTTGACCGTAGAGATGGCGTGGTACGAAGCGGCTTGTGCGTTCCCAGTATGCTGGACGGTTCTTGGTGGATGTGCTGGTGCGGAGGCTGCTGCCGTACGTGGATGTACCGTATGTAGACTGTCGGCTCTGAGATGCAGAGAGTCCAAGGTTGGGCACGCTGCGACTCCAGTCGTGTTGGACATTTGATGAAGTGGCCGCGGGAGATGCAAGACCTCTAGCTCGTGCGATAAGCTGACTGGCATTCGCATCAAAGGATCCTGATCGATACGACTTGCCTGGGGCGAAAGAAGGAGGCGGCATCTCAGCTCTTGAATCTGCCAGCGTCCGTCGGGCCCTTGCGATGAGATCGTTCGTTGAATCGTTGAACGAAGACCGTCCACTAAACGACATTGCGCCGTTGAAGGAGTGAGACGGTGATGTCGTGGATGTTGATTGCCTAAAGGACTCCTTGATGGCATCAGCACGAGCGCGCTGTTCTTCGAGCATAGTTCTCGGTGCTGACTGCTCATGTTGCTCTGGTGCAGGCGACGCTGGTGACAACTTGGGTCGCTTGGGCTCGATGAGCTTAGGCTTCTCTTCGTCTGATGAACCAAAGTCGAAGCTGCGCTTCCGGTGCTTGCTCGGATCGATGCCCATAGCGCGCAACCTGAACCAATCCGTCTCGGTCCGGTCTACTGGTGCATTCGCAACGGCTTGCTGATATGCCTGGGAGTATGCGGTGATTGATGTGCTGGCGTTGCTTGTGCTCTTGTCAAAGGTTGACTCAGGAGATGGGTTGTTGACCGGCACTGATTTGGCTGAGTTCACACCATTCGTCTCCGAGCTCTGAGCCTGGTGTCGCTGTTGCGTTCGCTTGGCGCGCCGAGAATTCGAAGGTTGCTGAGACACCGATCGCCCCTCTGGTGGTACTACTGCTGTCGTCTTACCGTTCGATGTCGCTGGTTGTACCGGTGCAGGCGCGTCTGCCGCTTCTTCGTTTGGTCCGGCCTCCGCCTTTGCCCGCTGCTCTCTCAGTCGCTTCCTCCTCTCTCGTGCCTTTTGTAATTTCTTCTTCTTTTGCACCGCCAACATCATCTTGGCCAAGCCTGCCCGCTTCAACTCATCTAGATATCTCTTATGCTTCTGATCTACCATCGCCACTCTCCTCTCCATCTCTACAGTGATTGCAGCTTCCTTCGCTAAATTCATAACAGCGTTGTCGACGAACTGCATCAGCAATCCCTCCTGGGGGTGGAACATAACATCCGCCGTGAGCGCATGCAATGCCGAGTCCTTCTCTCGTATCCGTGTTTGCCGTGCTTCCTCCTCTTGTGCCTGACGGAATCTCGCCTGTCGAGCCAACTCTTCTTGCTGCTCGCGTGCCTTGCGCTCTCGATCAGCCTGTTCTTGCCGCTGTCGCGCAGCCGCAGCTTCCGCAGCCTCAGCCTCACGCTTCTGCTCTGCTTCCTTCGCTTGCTTTGCTCGTTGGGCTTCCTGTACTCGTTGGCGTGCTTCGTCCAGTTTCCGTTGCTTCTCAGCTGCCTCCTTCTCTGTCTTCTGTGCTTCATCTTCTTGTGGAGAAGTATCCGTCGGAGGCGGTGTTCCTGATGGGGTGAAGGACTGTTGTGGGGTTTCTTTCGAGGGTGTAGCATTGAACGAAGACCCAGTAAAGTTGAAAGCAGGAGCTGCCTTGGGTGTTGAAGACTGAGGCTGCGCGGTGTTGTTCTTGAAGAAAGGCTCTTCGCCCCAATGAAATCCTTTCTGGAATTCAGCTTCACGTTTCTGCTGAGCTTCGAGTTTCGCCGGATCAGGGAAAGGCGATACTCCACCGAAGATGTCCGCTGGAGCTTGAGCCGTTGTAGACTGAGGCTGCGCGGTGTTGTTCTTCAGGAAAGGATTCGCGGGCGTTGGTGTGGTGGTTGACTCGGACTTCGCAGCATTGTTGAACTTCAAGAAAGGATTTGCGGCAGGCTGTGGCGTCGTAGATTCCGGTTGCGCAGTGTTGTTCTTCAAGAAAGGGTTTGATGATGGTGCAGTCGGTGTCGACTGGAATGAGTTGTTGTCCTTGCGCAAAAATGGATTGGCATTCGCATCTGCTGGTTGCCCAAACTGAATGCTGTTCTTGGAAGGGTCGAAAAGGCCAGGCTGGACGGCTTTCGCGAATGGATTTGGAGTTGTGGTAGAATTGCCATTCGGCTGAAAGGGAGATGCGGTCGCGTTGAAGCCAAAGCCACCAGCAGATGGTGTTGCGTTGGAAGGTTGCTGTTTGAAGACACTGGTGGTCTCTGGAATGAACAACGATGTCTGGTCTTCCATCTGTTGAGCTTGCGTAGCAGACAGCCCGCCCTTCTTGGCTTCCTGCACAGTCATGCCTGCGATGACAGTCGACAAGGGACGACCGCATCGCTTGGCCTCGACGATAGTTGCGGAGAAGAACTGAGGCTTGATGTCGGCCTTGGCGAGGACATTCGCTTTCCTGTCGTAGTGCTTCTGTTTGATATCCATGAAGCGCTGTCCTGCCTCGTTGAATTCGAAGACAAAACCGTGCGCCTCGCAAAACTCGACGGCCTCGTCTTCAGTGTCCATGCCGAGTACTTCTCTCAGCCTGTCGGTTGTCCAGAATTCGACAGAAACCTGATGCCTGTATAGACCAACTCGGTAGCAACGCCAGACTACATCCAGTGCAACGTGACGGACCCTGTTGAAGGATATAGCGGCCGCACATGCCATGAGATATGATACCCGCGGCGACTTGATCAACTCCCAAAACCGCTTCCAATTCGACTGGCATTGTACCCAGTTGTCGTAATTCCTGTGAATGAGGATGGACTTGAGGAGGCGGAAGATCTCGAGAGCGGCTTGGACCCGTGGGTTGTTCCGTAAATCGCTAGGTAGACGATGGAGTTCGTTCTCGAGCTGGGTGTTGGCGTAGATGGGAGCCAGGATGAGGCGATATGCCCAGAACTCGGCTTCGCACTCTGATATGATGTTGGCGCGTCGATTGTCGGCGTATCGCTCCTTCAGTGAGATGAGGGTCTGATTCAGCTGCTCGACGTCTTGTTGATGCGAGTAATCGTCCTTGGTACTCCGCGCCATGTGATGAGCCGACAACATGTAGAAGCGGGCGCTGTACTCGAGCGAGGTGAGTAGTACCGCGATGTCGGCCCTGTTCTCGATACGTTGTGTGCGGAGGTCCTTTCGAACGGCTCGTGTGCGGTCCCAAAGCCATGAGTGGAGGAACTGGAAATCGTCTTCGTCTAGGCGGCCGTACAGGTACTTGAGGGTTTTCTGCGGATATTAAATCACGATCATGTAGAGAGTTCCGCTAACTTACCAAGCAGGTGGCTGGCGACCGAATCTCTGAGACCAGCTCTACGTCCATGCCTGCCGCTGACCGCGCGTATGCCTTGACCATGCGCGACTCATCTGCGATGCGCTGGCTACGGGAGGGTAGGTGTTGGGTCTCGGGTGTGCATTCGGGGGCCTTGACGTCGAGTTCGACTATGCGACGCACGCGCTCGTATTCCGGGCACATTTCCTGGCAAAGACCGTACAGCTTGACGGAGTCGATCAGGCGCATCTGGCCTTCGGGGTTCATGAGACCATCGCGGACGAACTTCTCGCGGATCTTGGGGCGCTCCGCTTTGATCTGTGCCTGTCAGTATTGACAATCCACCGTGATATCTGTAGTCCTTACGTGTTGCAGTCGCTTCTGATATTCATGAGGCGCAAAGGAAGGCGCTGAATTCCCGCCGAACAAATTCGAAGTGGAAGCGTTCCTATAGGTATCTAGTTAGAATAGGCCGCGAGCGGCCATGGAGGCCCTCGTCTAGTATAGATCGCAACGACGGTGGTGGTGTAGTATGCATCCTGGTGATGGCGCCCTCGGTCCGCCCGCGCCCTGTGCCAACGTCAGAGGGAGTATGTCGACTTACGAATTGCCGGAGTCGTTCTTCTGGCGTCCCTGCCCGCCTTTGTATAGACCTTGCGCCGGTCGCTCTTCGTTCTGCGCATTGTTCCTGCCGCGTGCGCGATTCGCGTTGGAGTTGTTGCCGCCTTTGGGACCGCGCCCACGATCGCCTCCGCTGGCGCCTCTCCCACCTCGCGGTGTCGCCATGGTCGCGACTCTATCACGAGCGTGTTAGTGCGCGATCAGCCAGGGTCAATGGCAAATGCAACAGTGAGGCTCCGGGTGCGGCGAGATATCGGTAGTCGGTTCGGTTGCGCTGGTGGCCGAGTCGGGTTGAGTGCGACTGGCGGGCGCTGCGAGAAAGCATCAAAGGCCCATCCGTGTCGCGAACAAGAGAGCCACGGATGAGCTCAGAGCCCGGGCCTGTGACGCGGTCCTAGCGCCTTGGCACACGACGTGTGGCTGGTGCCCGAGTCGCCGCTTCCACTTTCACTCTACTCTTGGTTGCAACATCAACGGCTCAATTCACTCACAACATCACGCTTAGCGTTCAGAAGCAAGTAGATTCGATATCTTGATTGATATCTAACATATCCGAAATGCGTAACTATCGACGTGCGATACTTACATGTCTTTTCTCCCCTTATTTACCTCTCCGTGGGTTTGACCGCCTCGCCTCCACAATACTGACGGCCACCCACCTTCATCCACTTCTTCTAAAGACCAGCTACCCCCCAAGTTTTATACAACGCCTTTCAGCAAGAACAATCCCAAACATAGGCAATCCGTTCCCTATCCAATTACTTCCTCCACTAAGCAGCCATGAACTTTTGTACCGGCGTCGTTGCAATGCAGTCGTGGGCGGCGTGACGTCGTATGGGGTATATTGCAAGACATGGACCATGTAGAATGCAAAATCAAGAAAGTGCACCAAAGCATATTCCAGCGAGTGTGCCGAGGCATCCAGCATGGGGGGTGCCCAGTCGCTGTGCTGGAACGGAGCTTGACAAATGCGACATGATAGAAGATGAGCAATGAGTAATGAGATCGTCGCAATCGTGAGTCGTTCCGAAGAAAGAAAAACATAAAGATGAACCGAAACGGATTCGAGCATGTAAGCAAGACGAAATAATGCACGCTAAGTCGCAGGCGATTAATGATGAGAGCCTTCCGACTCACAGCTGATGCTGGTCAAGTGCGGTAGACCGTCGAAGAACGACGGAACAAACATGTCATACTCGTAAGGATATCCGGTATTGCTGCTGAAGGCGGTACTCTCGTCTTGGTGATGGTACGGTGTGTCGAACATGGTGAATGGCTGGTGGTATGTTGATGCAGACACTGGAACTACGTTGTTTGATCCGGGAGCCTGTCGTGACTGCGGTACATGGTGGTAGCCCGAATGACTAGTACAATACTGCATTGGCTGGCTGCATTGCAAGTCGCTCTGACTGCGGGTCTGGTTATGAAACGGGGTGTGGTTGGCCACCTTGACGTCTAGGTCCATGTCCTCATCTAGATGAAGAGAGTGCATCGACTGACCAAAAGAGGTGTTGGGCGTTGTAGTGGAGCTGCATGGATGCATGTGTTGTGGTTGTGATATTGCCGGTCCTCGAATGGGGGCTTGCGCTTGCTGTTGGGATGTCTGAGGTCGGCGAGCTTTCTCCTCCCGTGGCAGGTGCGACTCAGTCGCGGTGTTGTCAACCTCAGTCTCGTTGCCAGATACATCGGCGTCAGGCTGTATTCTCGGAGGCGGAGTAGCCCTGGCCCGTCGGAAGCGCTTCCTAGGTACGGGTTGCTGGCGTGGCGGTCTCGTCAATGGCTGCCAAGTCACATGCGTCCCTCTACGGGGATCCTGGTTGTTTGTGCCTTCGAAGAGGTTGTAGTTGAAGATGTGATCTTCGTATAATTGCGCAATGTCGAAGAGGTTCGGTAGAATCTCGGATAGGGCTCGGCCTTGCATCCGCTCACTGAATCTGGATCCTTTCGACGAGGAGAACTGGTCTGGCGGTGTAGTCTCAACGGCATACTGCGCGGCATGTTTGAGCTTGGCGACCCATGGACTTCTACGCTTGGCCTCGTCGATTTTGCGGTGCTGAAGCATGAGATCGACTGCAAGTTTCAAAAGGCCTGGGGAGAATTAGCGGTCGCTCACTTTCAAAGGCAGATGTGATAGCTTACCCGCCTTATCTAGATGCGAAGGCTCTTCGTAGGGTACATCGTGGGGCCACCAAGGTGGGGTGCATTCAGAGGGCTGCTCCTTAGGCAGCTTCTTGTGGTAGGGCCCGTACAGGCTGAGACGCTTAGGCTCCAGTTGCTTGACCCAAGCCGTGACGATGGGCCGCACTGGCTTCATGGTGAGCTCATCGAGTCTTCGGTGGAAGAAGCCCATCAACGGCTTGACATCGCCAATGTAGAAGGTGTAAGACTTCTGTGTTGCCACAGGGACATCTCTATCGTCGTACTGCTCGTCGTCCCCATCTTCGCTGAAGTGCTGAGCTGCGCCTTGACGCGGTTCCCCTGGGCGCGACCGAGCTCTCTTCCGGCTCTTGGGTTGAACATCTCCCGACGTAGCTGGGCCTGTTAGCGGGGGCGCATACAGAGCAGGCATTTGATCTTACCCGGTACCTGGACCACAGCAGGCTGGTAGACTGGCGTGGGGATGGCTTTAGGCGGATCTGCCAGACGGGCTACTCCCTGCGACTTTGCTGGGCCGTTGCACAGGTGTTCGAAACCGGGGATGGGCCTAAAGACGTGTTCCTCTCGGCCCTCAGGCGAGATGACTTTCCAACAGCCGATAGGTGTAGGGACGGCAACGGGCTCCTCTGGTTCGTCCTTCTTGATGGTGGCTTCGACAGCGTGCGAGGATGTTGCCTGGAGAAGTCAGCATATGTGCTCATCGCTATTGCCGTCTATGATGCCACGCGCCTGCCGGGTCCGGTTATTTGGGCCAAGGCGGCCGCTAATCGTCGCGCCAGCGGCTCATGTGGAGGGAGGACCCGAAACCTTATCTACAGTGCCCCCGAACGCAAAAAGAAACCGTACTCACCGACGACTGCTCCTTCACATCACCAGCGTGAACCATCGCCCACGCGTTTTCCCCGAATCGGTCTGCCGCCATGGCGCCGCCATCGTCCTTCCGTATTGGTCGCCGGTCCTTCGCGTGAGGAGCCAATGGGTCCACGGCCCGGAACATCGCCATCGGTAGCTATGGAGCTGCAGCTAGCGAATCCCGCGAACTGATCGATGGATCGCCTTTGTGTCGTATGGGCGTATTTTTCCGTCTTATGGCGCCCGAGGAAAGCTCGAAAGTACGAACAGGCTACACATCGGTCAGTTAGCATCTTATACTCTACAGGAGCCATGCCCCTGGAGCGACCGAATGAGGCAGTATTGCTTGACGAAATGACCAAGATCATCTACATAGACTAGTCGAGTACAGTTTTGGAGTGCGCACACTTCGCTTAACCTATTGCGCTGGCAGTGCTTACCTGAAAAGAGCAAGTTCTAGAGGAACCCCAGTCTTTAGACGAACGCAAGATGCCCCTCTTCCGCTGCAGATCCGAGATAAGCCAGAGCTGGATGCTGCTTTGGATGCCAACGAAAAGCCTCTGCTATAACCAACAGCAATGGGCTCGTCACGAGCTTCGAGCCACAGCAACGATACTTGGATAAGGTGGCTAGCCGAAAAAGGCTGGGTGCGGAATCGGAGGAGGGTGGCACACAAGCCTGACCGGTCTTCCGAAGATTGTATGCCAATGATGCAAACCCAAAAAGAGCCACGGTCTCAAGGATAAAATGCAAATACAAGAACGTGATACTGACAGCAACAATAGGACCGAATGTATTGACCGGGCTCTCAGGTTATAAAGCAGGCCTTATTCTGCTATGACAACTGAGCCCTGCACTGTTCGACTCCTATCTACTGCACGTAACCTCACAGAATCCACTTGGCGACGACAAGACCCCGGCATTTCAGCAAACGAGAGAGGACATCGCATGATCTGGCCACCCCGCGGATGTCGACTCGAGGGCTACCGCAGGTGTTAAGGGATTGAGGCCTCATCAGGCCTGCGCATCTGAATTGGGCTTGCGGAGACGTCTTGTGCATGACTCCCGCTTCCCCGTCCGCACCTGCCTTCACTCTCAGTCGACACGATGCCGAAAAGATGACGAGTGTTAGGCGCGAACAGGGGTCAATGTCTCCACAAGGATGTATACACACTAGCGCTAAAGCATGCTGCATAACGGACACGGGGTCGTGCCGTGGGATTCCATCATGCAAATCAGCAAATCGTATCTGTAGGCCTCGAATCTCCGATGAGTGGTTCCATGGGAGATCTGTTGGGCATCGAATACCTGCACACTGCCATCGTCACTGTATGAGATACCGAAATCAACATCCGATTATAGATTGATTGTGGACGTGTCAGGACTTAACCCCACCTTCCACCTTTACACATCCCACGTGAGGAAGTACGCTAGCACACACTTCGACGATGGCGCTTTTCGGAAGTCCAAGGATGGCTAGACCTCGCCGTTCTGTGGGTTTCGTTGATCCTCGGGATCGTCCTCGCTCGCCAACCTCGCTTACCGCATTTCCGCCAGCCATCGCATGGGGCGGAGAGGCAGTGGAAGCCAGAGACAACCTTCCCGCATCCCCGAACCAAAGATACATAGCCGCTCAAGCAGCCAAAGGGTCTTCGACCCCAAAGTCTACATCCACTTCAGCGCCACGGCCAGACTGTTCTAAACGATGCACAAAGAAATCCTTCATAGATCCCGTTACGATGTCGCTCAGGCCCGCACCGCTCATCCGCTTACCAGGCTGTTGGCGTGAGATTGAGTTCAGTCTGACTCAGTATCTGATCGATCTAACTGCGAAGACAATCAGAACAAGTTAGACAAAACGTCCATCTCGCTACTGCGTGCGCACTGGAACAATGCTGAACAAAAATTCCTGCACATCGCCGCGAGATGCAAGATTCCTCCTGCTGTTCTACCCTCAATTTTCCCACCACTGACCTAACTCACCGCCAACACAGCCTGCCAGATCTAAACAAGCCAACCTCTAGCAGATCAAATCGTATCGACGTCCCCAAACCAGACCCAGACCCGGACCCAGACCCAGGCTTCCCTCTGCTTCTCCCGAGCGCCACACCGCCCTCGCACTAGCAAAAGCGGAGATAACGTGTCACCCCGTTGCACAACCTTCTTCTAATACGGCAACGGGCCGCTGGGCTAAACTAAACGCACACCAGATGCATGCAAGTCTACACCCGTTGCATGCACCACCCACGTCCAGCTTCCGTTTCCGCTTCGTATACCCAGATACATGCACCAATCCCCTCCTCTCCTTAGCGATGTTAGGATGTTAGGCTCCGGCATATATGCGCCACCCGCAAGAAGCGGAAGGTGGTGAACCGCGTTTAGTCGGCCACGGCTGTCGTGTCACGCATGCTTACCCATACCCTTACCTTGCAACTTGGGTTTTCCCTCCTGTCTCTCGTGTAAGCAGGGGCGTAAACGGCGGGTGGACATCGCTTCGAGCCCGTTCTTCGCGTCGAGTTACGAAGTTAGAAGTTAGATGGGAGAACGTGCAGAGGCTGTCAGTGCGTGACGCAACGCCGGAAAGTAGGAGTGGTTTCGTATCGAAGGCGCAGGGGTAGCGGGACTGGAGCCGGGTGTTAGAGGCATGGGATGGGGAATGGTTGGCAGGTGGGTTTCTGGAACGTGGAGTGGTGATGCTGCAGGAAGTTCACCGCTAGGTCGAGGTACACAGCGATGATGAGGGTGTAAGGGTTTGGGGATGGGTGGTGAAACGTTTGCTTCCGAAGCTTGAGCGTCAGACTGCTGATACTGGATGGTTATCGACACAAAGACGTGGATATGATGCAAGGTAAAACCCGGTGTATGGGTTCAACAAGTGATGATCACATGGTTTTGATCGCCGAGGTCAGAGTGCGGTTACTGTAGCCGCGTCCAACGGGTTTTGCTTCCACCTGCTCCTCGAGACTGGACTTGGTGGGATAGCGCTGCAATATGTAGATCGCGATGACTTCTGGACTTCTGACGTCACATGTTCACTTCCTGTTCTTGGCTGGAGTGATGCATTGCCATATGTGTCTGTGAATGTCCATAGAGATTTCATGGCCATTGTAAAATCACCATATGGATAAACGTGTCTTCTCACTGCTGACCTCTCATCTTCGCACGGAGGTAAGGCAGCCAAAAGCAAATGCATGTTAGACCCATCATTAAATTTTATATACGTTTCCAACTCAAACTACGTCGCCCACCTGCGAGTTGATCACTCATCTACTTTTCTCCCCTCCACTGTCGCTGAAAGTTTTCCGCTCACCACAACGCCTCGCCATGCTATGAAAACGGTGCAACTCCAACGTATCTATTCTGGAAACGTCTCTAGCGGAACTGATGTGTCAACGTCCTCCACACACCTCTTCTATCTTCATCAGTCACTTCCCCCTCACGACTGACTCATGTCCAAGGCATTCAACAACCCCGCCTCCTTGACCAACTCATAAAACAATCCCTTCCGCCTGACCAACTCCGCCGGGCTATCAAACTCCTTGACCTCGCCCTTGTCCAAAACGATAATCCTGTCTGAATCCAAGATCGTGTTGATGCGATGCGCGATAGTGATGATTGTGCGGTTGTTGAACATGCTGGTGCGGAGCGTGGTTTGCAGCATGGCGTCTGTTTCGACGTCGACGGCGGCGGTTGCTTCGTCCAGGACGAGGATGTTGGAGGGAGTTAGGAGGGCGCGAGCGAGGGAGACGAGTTGGCGTTGACCGGAGGAGAGGTTGGAGCCACCTTCGTTGATGGTGGCGTCGAGTTTGCCGGGCATGGAGGAGATGTGGTCTTTAAGGCGAGCGTGGTCTATGGCAATGGTTAGTTGCATTTTGAGTGGGATGGTTTGGAGCGGACTTACCTAGTACACTCCAGAGCTCGGTGTCGTCGTGAACATGGCCTGGATCGAGGTTGTCGCGCACGGTACCTTCAAAGAGCGCTGCATCTTGTGGGATGATGGCCAAGCGCCTGCGGAGATCGAGAAGACCGATTGTGCTGGTGTTGAGATTGTCGATGCTTACATTACCCTCCGCAGGTTCGATGATGCGGAAAAGCGCAAGGGTAAGTGAACTCTTGCCAGCACCTGTTCGTCCAACGACACCAATCTTCTCCTTTGGCTTTATGGAGAGGTTGACGTTCTTCAGCACCAAGTCAAGACCAGGCCGGTATCGGGTGCTGTAGTTGTCGAAAGTGACAGCGCCCTGGGACGGCCAGCTGATTGGCGGCCTGTTCTTGGAGATGATCTCAGGCGCCTCGCTGGGTAGCGCGGCATACTCAAGCACACGTTCCACAGAAACGATGTTGGTCTCCACTTCAACAGTCTGGCGAACGATCCAGTTGAGACTTTGAGTGATCTGAAGCGCATACGACATGGCCAGACCCACTGTACCAGCCGATAAGCCGCTGTGGCTAGCGACGGACACGATGGCGAGACCCGCAGCAGCCAAGATGATGACTGAGCCAAGGAATTCTAGGCGAACAGCCAGCCATCGGTTGGCGCTAATGGAAGGGTAGTATGCACGCAGATTGGCATCGACACGCCACTCATTCTCCATCTCGAAACGCTTCTGCTGGCTGTACGCGCGGATTGTGCTCATGCCGCTGAGACTCTCCTGGAAATGGGCATAGATTGGGCTGCGGCTAACGCTGTCGAGGCGCTTGAGCTCTCGTGATGTGCGCAGGTAATATCGCTGGATGTAAAGGTAGAGTGCGCCGAGCGGCAGGATAAGCGCAACGAAGGCCGGGGTCGACCACGAAATGACGACAAGGGTGAAGCCAGCTGCGACGGTTAGTCAGTCAAGTGTTACACAGAACGGGTTGAGTGTGGGGTGGCTGCATACCTCGGGCGGAATTGACGAAGAGCATGTTGAACGTTCGGCTAGAGGCACATGTTAGAAAGCCACCGGCAGACGATTCAGAGAGATAAACTCACGCTAGAACTTCGTCGACTCGGTAGATGTCACTGTCAGATAAGTTAGCCAGTGTCGGTGAAGTAAACATATGGGTCCAGGGTCATGCTCGGCGAGGCAGTGGGCGACGGTTACACTGGTCAAGATGACCTCCACCACCGCCCCTCCGCCTCCCCCACCCACGCGTGTTCGGCGAGGAAGT